AATGTCCACGGGCACCCCATGGACGGTAATCCTTGTCCTGCGGGTGCCCATGTATTCTGTCTGAAGTCTCAGGGTCTTGGACGACAACGTCTTCCCGGCCAAATCCCTGGCTTCTTGTTCTGTTGCGAGAAGAATGTCCCATAGGGCGTTAGTTCTTCTCGCCAGCACTTTTGGGTGTATGTGAAGAGCCTTCAGAGTTTCTTCCATGCTTTCCCTGCTGACTCCAAATAACTTTTTTGTTTTCACGTCCGAAGTCAGCAGGGAAATTGTTCTCGGTTCCACAGCACTTAGGGCCTCCTTAATAGTGAGGAACTCAATGCCCTTGAATGTTTCTTCAAATACACTTCTTTGGCTAGCATAAAAGCTGCCATCTTTCTGGGCCGGCCTGTTTTCTGCCCAGGCCGATTTGTTAGGCGACGCCGGGTCTGGAACCGGTGTCTTAGGAAGGTTGGAATTGTTGTTGTCGACCATGGTGGAAAAACCCACCACAGTCTAACGGCGTAAAAACTCACAGGACAAAAATTTGTTATTTAAGAACAAAAAAAAAAAGTACGAAATGGGGGAAACCAAAGACAATAATAGTTTTAACAAAAAGGAAAACGGCAAATTAAAATGCGGAGGGGAAAAAAACGAGAAAGAATCAAAAATACCGAGTAAACAAAAAGGCAATAAGAAAACCAAGAAAGAAACGAAAAATAAAAGGTTTTTTGAAAATAAAGGATAAAAAAAAAAAAAAAAAAAAAAAAAAAAAAACTTATCGATTTAGGACGTCCGAATTCTTTTTCTTGACAGGCGGATCTTACTCAAGCCATTATCAAAGATGTAAATACAAACATATCAACCAATATATGGACACGACAGTGATGATATATGGTATAATCAATGGCTTCTGTTACCAATTATTGAAATTATAGACATTTAAGAATATTTGTAGAGATTCCATAGTTGATTTTGTTTAGGTTGGGTTTTAACTGTTTGATGTATAATGCTTCAAGTATTTTTAGTTTTTGTCTATTGTTTTCATGTCGAAGTATAGTTGTGTTTTCGACAAGTATTTTACGGAATTGTGTGTGCGGGCAGGCATGTTGTTTTAAATGCCTAAAAATGTTAGAGTTTTCATTAAGATGTAGTGTCAAGCGTCGTGAAAGCGAGTTTGTGGTGTGACCAACATAAATATTATTTAATTCGTTGGAGATACACTCTCCCAAAGGGCACTTGAATTTATAAACTATGTTGGTTTTTTGCAAATCGCTAATCGGGGGAGAAGAATCATTGCGAAGTATTAAGTTGGATATACTAGATTTAGTGTAGTATATGATTAATTTAATTTTTTGCTAGGATCTGTAGTTGATATATTAGAATTTACTAAATTTTTTAGTATGTGTTCATCTTGTTTATAATTAGTATGCATTTGATTACGATATAGGAGATTAATATATTTGAGATCAGTAGAAGCAGTATTATGTACAATTTGCTTATTATTGAGATTTCTAAGAAAGCATCTTATTTGTTCATCAACTATATAGTTTGGAAAGCTATTATTAATAAGTGTCTGTTTTATATTCTTTAGTTCACTGTAAAAAATCTGTTTGGTGGATGAATTAGTTTCTGCACGATGTATTAGATTCTTTATAATTGCTATTTTGTAGTAATATGGGCATTCGCTCTTGTAGTTAAGTGTACATGAATTTATGCTTGTAGGTTTTTTGTATGGAGAAATAGTAAATTTGTTATTATTTGTGTTTATTAACATGTCAAGGAAGGGGATTTTATTATTAGTATTAAGTTCATATGTGAATTTAAGGACAGAATTATTTTGGAACCGTTTTTGAAGTTGAATTATTTCATCTGTATTTTTAACTAACATAAGAATATCATCAACGTATCTTAGGTAGATTGATGGTTTTTTAAAATCTGTAAATAACTTATTTTCTAGGTTCGACATGTAGAAATTGCTAAATGTCGGGCCCAATACTGAACCCATGGAGACACCATCACGTTGGATATATATATTGTTATTATTATCAAAGAAAGGGACTTCAGTAGTACAAGTTAAAAACTCGCTTTCACGACGCTTGACACTACATCTTAATGAAAACTCTAACATTTTTAGGCATTTAAAACAACATGCCTGCCCGCACACACAATTCCGTAAAATACTTGTCGAAAACACAACTATACTTCGACATAAAAACAATAGACAAAAACTAAAAATACTTGAAGCATTATACATCAAACAGTTAAAACCCAACCTAAACAAAATCAACTATGGAATCTCTACAAATATTCTTAAATGTCTATAATTTCAATAATTGGTAACAGAAGCCATTGATTATACCAACGGCTTTCCTTATTTCATTCTCCAATTCACTCTCGTGTAGTCATGTGTGACGTCATGAGATGCGGTGCGATTTTCGCTTCTAGCGTCTTATATGCGCGTGTTCATCGTTGCTTAGTGATTCACTATGTAAACAAAACAATGACAGACTATATCATCACTGTCGTGTCCGTATATTGTTTGATATGTTTGTATTTACATCTTTGATAATGGCTTGAGTAAGCCGAAAGCTTAGATTTTATTAAAAAATAATGGATAAATATTGTGAATTTCTTTTTTCTATAGATTTTCGTTTTTGTCAATTGCTTTCTCTTTTAATTACAGTAGTATTTTTTAATTCAAAATTATGGTCAGATTCATTATAGATTTAGAGAATATTTTTAATTTCATGCAGTTTATTTAATTTTAGGAAATGTTAGTCAATGAATATTTTACCTATATTTGATTTGTTACATATTTATTATATTTACCATAAAGATTTTATTTCTTTTTGATTTTTGTTTTGTTAGGTGCAAAAATAAGTTTTGACCTAAAACATTCTTATAATGCTATTTCATACATATTTTCTGCTTCATTGTACATTTTTTCATTTGACAACTTGGCTGACAGAAAGTAGAATTTGTTTGATTAATCTGGGTGGTTGGAGAAAGTGTGTATGTAAAGTAGGTTGTTGTTTGGTTTTCTGTACAGTTGATATATAATTTAAGTCTTTCTTATTTTGTTTTTGTTTAATGTTGATTTCAGATTTAATGTGTTTCTGTTTATTATAATTTCTTTGGATCATTATAATTTTATGCTTTCTTATCAAAATCCTAGTTAATGTATGTAAAATATATATCGTAACCAGTTCACTACCTCCATCATAGCACCCCATGATTACATCAAATATTATTTTCTGTTCGCTTTTTTTACCTATGTTTATACTTGTTGAACAGAAGTGATCTTTGGTAATGTTTTATGATTATAATAATATAATATATATAAGTGGATCGGTTGTAATTTTGAGCATTCCTTTACTAGAGAGAGGGTCTTCCCTATAATAGATTGGCCCAAATATATTATATCAAGCTGAATGAATGCACAGTCATTCATGCATTTTATATTATGGTGTATTTGACCATAGTCATTTGTTACAATTCCCAGTGCATTATTTTATATTTATATAATTGTTGATACCTCCTGACAAGTGTACTTACAAAATGGTTCATCTATGATGGGGTGATGAATATAACATCAATTTTATATTTGTATTAACCTATATATATATATATATATATATATAGAGAGAGAGAGAGAGAGAGAGAAAGTGTGTGTTTTGAAAATGAAAACATTATATGCATACATACAACAATCTATTTCTTGTTAACAGTTGTTCATATATTTCAACCTTGAAAATGGCTAAATGTATAACTGAAAGCACTTGGATAGCAAGAACAGTTTTATAGTTTTTATATAATTTATTATCTGAAAAGAAAAAAAATTATAAGATCATATAAGAAATTTTATAAAAAAATCAAACCACCTTGCCTGTTGTATTCAATGAACTGTGCATATATTTACATATATATAGTTTTATATATATATATATATATATATATATGAATAAAGGGTTGGTTTAGATGGAATAAAATTCTGATAACCAAAAAAATTCTAATATGTGTGTGTTTGTGTGTTTGTTTGGGTTGTAGTATCAGTGATGGATAATCTCTCTCTCTCTCTCTCTCTCTCTCTCTCTATATATATATATATATATATATATATATATATATGTATATTCATAATTACTTACTTAGGTATATATATGGACATACACCTTGTTTGCACGCATATTCTTATTTCTTTTTAAAAGTATTTGAAATAGTTACATTAATATAACAAGTGTTAATTGGCCCCTTACTGGCAAAATAGATTTTGGTTATTATCCCAGCCAAATGCCTTTTCAATATTATTAATTTCTAATAATGTTATTCAATGATTTGGGTGGGGTCTGCAATTTGTCATCTACTTGAAAAACAGGAATTTGTAAGTTTCAGAAAAAAATTGCTACCAGAATAGAAGGTTTGTATGTGTAGCTGGGGTTAGATCAATTGATGGAATAGCAGTGGTTTGATGTGGGTATGTTCTATTCAGTAGAAGTACTTAATATTCTGTTAGTGTAAATTTACAATGTGCTAGATCTGAACTATTAAAGTGCATTAATATAAATGAGATTCAAAATTGCATATAATTTATTTGTATATATCGTTTTATATGGTATTTTAAGTAGATTATATATACAACTTGATGTTCTAAAATTTTTCACATTTCATTATTTGAAATACACATACATTTGAAACATTATCATTTTATATTTCTCAACATTTTGAAATTTATATCATGATAATTATGCCAATTATGAAATTGTATTATATTTATTTTATATAAATGCAATCAAATAGTATTATTACAATTAGAGGCCACCATCGTTAGGTTAAATTGAAATTAAACCGACTAGAATTAACTCCCTTACACGAACACCGACGCAAGCAACATGGAAGGAGATTTTTTCAACAGGCACTTTTCAGCAAAGGCGTGGCAGCAATATACAAAATGAGAACTTAGAACTAACATGTCGAATGATAAGACTGTTAGACTGTAACTCTCAGATCATTCTAGTACTCACCTAGGTAGAGGCAGGAATATGGCAGTGTGTTCCAGAAGCTAGACAACATTTTCCCGACGTATGTGGTTGTCTTCGGAGCCGGGTTTATGGCGAGTGAAACAGGAACCGTGTGCACTTTGTCACGTCTGGGCATCTCGCAACTTTTAGGTGCGTTTGTGTAATGGAGCTGGTTAGTTGCGCCTATCAACGGAATGATTCTTAGCATTTAAATAATCTATGTACAAGCCGAATAATACATATATAAAAGATATGCGATATAAATACATGCATACATATTGACAGATAGATATATTTTTATAGTATAACATGCATGTATGAAATATATAACTTTTGATAAAGCATTTTGACATCCTACAAGTTAGAATTTCATAGGAAAAATAAATAGGGAACTAAAATAAGTGCACAGAATTACTCACAAAAATAGTTGAAACAAAAAATAATAATGTTTAAATAACTAAAGTTAAAGCAAACAAAAATCTGCATAACAACGAGATCTATCTATCTATCTATCTATCTATCTATCTATCTATCTATCTATCTATCTATCTATCTAATTTGCATCATTGACACGTTTGTTGTGAAGAGGCAAAAGAGAAGTGACCTATAAAAAACAAAACACCCCTTCTTCCCATCATAGAACGGTTGGCTTTTAGTTTTCAATAGCAATTTTTTTTTACATATTTCTGATTGTTGTTTACAACTACAATACTTCGTCGACTTATCTAGGTTCTGGTTAGTACTAGGCGAAGCAAGTTGACTTGGAGTATTATTGTTATAAAATGTAAGATGAAATAATAAGTAGTTTAGTTAGTAAATAAAACTTAAAAATGAAAATGCTTCAACATTGGCTCTGGTGGTCGAAGTGTGTATTGATCAGGAAGCGTTTTAGAACCATACGAGAAAAAAAAAAAAACGCAACAACTGTATGAAGTAAAAAAAACTAACAAATAACAATGCATCAAAAATTTGAAAATAGATAGCTTATAATTAAATAAAACGAAACTGACGCTTGTATTTCGCTTTCAAAATCCATGGTCACGATAAAAATAAAATCATCTAACCATGATTATTTTACGATTTTTCCAAAATACCGTGGAGTCATGTAGTGTGATAGCATGAATGATTACTGACGTGAAATGTCTGGCGTTGAATCGGACATATTCTGTAGTTTTTTTTAAGATTAGTGATTATCATTCTCCAAGAATTATTCGCACTCTTGATCTGTCAGGAGCGTGTGTAAAAACTGGTTTTCGACTGTGTACACAAGCACTCTACTTTTCTTAAAAATAGCACTGTGAACTTTTGCACGCACCAAAATGTATTTTTTTTTGTCGTTAAAACACAACTTTAACAAATCATTTTTTATTTTTATTACTTTTTTTCTCAGTAAGAGTAGATAGGTTCACCAATCGGTTCACATTTTTGTCTTTCATTCAGATATGAAGAAGCATAGAAAACGAATCAACAGATTTTCGGCGAAACGCGTCGTTTACAGCTTATTTATATTTTTGTATCATCATCATCATCATCTCTCTCTCTCTCTCTCTCTCTCTCTCTCTCTTTCTATATATATGTGTGTGTGTGTGTTAAAAATTCAGATATAAATAGCAAAATATACCTGCAAAAATATATGAATAAAGACAGAAGGAAAGCCTTTCTTTACCAGTGCGTTCAGTTCTCTGATGGACTTTATCAAAGCAAATGCAAAGATTTTATTTTGTAACATGTATTTATTTATAAACAACCAGGTACCACCAAAATGGATGTGTTTTTCCGAAATGATACCAAAATATCGCTACGCCCTGTTTTAAAATATTTGACAATTTTACTTATGCATGAATTAATTGTACTGAATAGGTTATTTTATTATAAAACTTTGCGGAAATATTTTTAAAGTTCTGTTTCACTCCCTTTTTCGATATTTCGTGTGTAGTAAAATACATTAATAAAGACATGTGCATAGAATTATTAGTGTTTAGTTGACTCATTAGTTTTTATTTCCACCAAATATAAGGCTTGAGAGGCACTCAGGGTAGAGGGTTACAGTAAAAATGGTAATGGTGAATGAGGTGTGTAATTTGAATGGAGGAAAAGGTGTTAAAAAGTGAAGACTATGATGATAAAGGAGAAATATAACGACTGGCCCTGGCTTGAAGAGGTCAAAATTGAAGTGTCCAGGGAAGCATCCACGCGGCAACGTTTGGAGTTGTTAAATGTTCACAACCAATCCACAGTTGAAGTTTCCGAAGTACTAAAATACTTACATACCGCGAATTTAATTTTGTGTTGCGAGAGGTAAAATGTGTGGTTGTTCTCCTGGTCAGCGTATATATACAGATGGAGCAAAAAGCGAAAATGGAGTATGATGTGCGGCCATATCTGCACTTACTGAATTTTAAAAATGTTAGTGACACTTTAACCGCACAAGTACTAAACAGAATCTATCACTTGTCTAAAAATAGAGAAATAATCTTTTGTTGGATCCCAAGCAATCTTGGGATACCGGGAAATGACAGGGAGGATTCGGAGGCAAAAAAAAAAAAAAAAAAAAAAAGCCATGAAGGATGCAATAACAAACACAAAGGTTCCATACTCCGATTATAAGACGGTTGTAAAGAAAATTATCATTAAAAAATGGCAACATCATTGGAATACATTCATTAATAACAAACTCCAAAACATTAAACCCACTATTGGAGACTGGAACTCAGAATATAAAAATAAGAGAGAACAGGTCGTGCTGACCCACCTTCACATAGGCCCACCTACATCACCCACCATTATTTATTAGAGGGCACAAAATTCCCAATATGCACTACATGCCAAGAAAAATCTACAGTGAAACATATACTGTTAGAGTGTGTAGATTTTGATCTAGTGCGAACAAAATATTACCAAGTGAGTAATTTAAAAAAAAACTTTTTACGAAAATAAAAGTAAAACCATCCAAGATTGTAAATTTCCTAAAAGTAGTTGGATTGTACTCAAAAATATGAGTAATTGAAAAATGGTTCAAATATATATTTATACATGCACACTTTTTTTTTTTTTTTTTTTTTACCAAACTATCGCTATGAATCTATTTCAAAATTTTTGTTGGCATTAAATGATCCACTGAGGTTTTGGTATGCCATAAAAGAAAACAAACAGCCTGGTCGGCGTAAAAGAGATTGAGGCTTTCAAAAATCCAGAGACGATAATTCTACAACTTTATTGACAAAATAAAAAAAAAGATATTGTTCATTCTTTTGAATAAATAAATATTTTTAAATGCATTAACGCCAAATCTGTCGTGCCACTGAAATTCTTATAAGCCTTCTTTTCAAAAGTTAATACAACTTAATTCATGCCTTTGTTTTGTTTGAATGTCGTTTGATGTTTTTGTATCTATTCTATTTCATGGGTTCACAAAATTCACTGAATAATTAACTTTTTTTTGTTGAAGACCAATGTCATGAATATTTCGTGGAACCATTTTAATATTATCTTCACCGAAAGGGGTCACTTTAACATCCTAACTACTAAAAAATGTTCAAACGATCCTTAATTTTTAACAAGACAACTCTGTTTAAATATCAAAAACGATTTTTAAGGCCGGATGAAGGCAGCGATCGTTTAAGATGCTCTGAAACCTTAGACCTTGCCTGAAAATATTACTGATGAGTACAATAAGATATTTGACAATTGTCTGTTGATTATGTCACGTCACGCTACGAGTCTTATTGATACCATATGACATAGTACTACTTGTTGCATGATTGGCATATCGGCGACTAAACTTTTTCCCCCACCAGGCTTTCCTGATGAGAAAGGTGGCTAGACAACCAGCTGGATCAAAATCAAGATCTGTCAAAGGACGAATGAAACGCTTTGTAGGTTCAACGGCCATCTAACACAATGGGGGAGAATGGGCTCTATAGCTATGTCTACAGGCCGTGCAACAATGACACAGCATCGCTGGGCGGAAGTTCTCCTAGACTAAAGTCAACGGTCAGAGTGGAGGATCAACCGGACAGAACCAACAGCTACGTGACCAAGGCGAGCTTTCAAGTTGGAGAACATTGGGCGTGGTTTGAACCGGAGAGGGATGGGTTCCGCCAGATGTACTTGCAAAATAAATGAATACATCTCCGGCTTTCAACCGAGATATATGGAGGGAACTGGTCAGGTGCTCAGCTGCGCATCGACCCTACGACTACACCCGGTTATGGGACTGATGATGATGAGGATGATGACTAACTACTTGAAGATTATTATGAAGTTTTTTTTTACAGTTTTAATTGACAATCTTTTCTCACACACATGTACTCCACTACGTTCATTAGGAGAAATTCGGAAAAAGGATTTTACTTTTTGAAACTGAAACCATTATTTTTGTTGCAAGGAGTATACTATTAACAGTGCTCAATTTCGTCTGGGTGAGATCTTAAGCTATATATAGAATGGTGGCATTTTGTCAAATGAATTCATGAAGGTTTCATACAAAGAAAGTTTTGAGGCTCCTGTGTGTTATTAGGACCTAAACAATATTTTGTTTAGCTATAACTTCGGTAAATATTTCCAATCCCATATTCACATTAATCGTGAACTGGACATATATATATATCCTATTTAAGCTGCGGCATTTCATGACAAAACATGTTGCGCTATTTGTCATGAGATCACAATTTAATGCCTGACTTGGTCAGTTGGCATACATCAGAAGCTTTGCGACATAAATCCTGCTGTCAAATACTAACCAACTTAAAAAGATTAAAACCACTTTTTATTTACTTTACATTCTGACTACAAGGTTCGATTCTTTTACATGACATTTATTAACCATCTGTTCCAAAATTTTACAACTGTCTCTCTGCATCGGCCAAGGATTTTAGAAACTTTTGTTCTTTACATTTGCGTGTAAACATAATCGAAATTATCAGGAGTAAATTTCTGGATGGATTCCGCACTGGAGAGTTTCAATCAAATATACTATTATTTCACTTTATTACAACATTTTCTTTCTTTCTTTGTTGTGTTGCGTCTCTCTTCAATTTTATTCATTTTCTTTCTTTCTTTCTTTCTTTCTTTCTTTCTTTCTTTCTTTCTTTCTTTCTAGTTTCCCCTCTCCAATTTATTCATTATTAATTTAATTTTTTTTTGGTTCTCTTCATTTTTTTCATTCCACTCGTTCTTTCTTCTTTTTATTTTTTTTCTATTCCTCTCTTTTCTTTTCATTGTCATTTCCATTCCACACTTTCTTCTTTCATTTTTCTTTTTATCTCTCTCGTCCTTTCTTCTTTTCATCTTTTTCTTCCATTCCTCCCGTTCTTTTTTTTTTCCATTTTTCTTTCTATTCTTCTTTTCATCTTCATTTCTATTTCTCACGTTCTTTCTTCTTTTCATCTTTTTTTCTATTCGTCTCACTTTTTATCATCATTTCTTTCTTTTCATTCCCTTGTTCTTTCTTCTCATTCTTTTCGTTCATTTTGCTTTTCATTTTTCTTCCATTCCTCGTGATCTTTCTTTATTTCATCTTTCTTTTCATTCCTTTAACCCTTTCTTCTTATCATCTTTTTCCCCCATTCCTCTCATTCTTTCTTCTTTTCGTCTTACTTTTCATTCCCCTTCCTGTTTCTTCTGTTCATCTTTCTTTCTTTCTTTCTTTCTTTCTTTCTTTCTTTCTTTCTTTCTAATCATCAATACCTTAAAAAAACTTTGTTATATTTCACACTTTCAAGCGAACATGGTCAAAAATAGCTTATATTCGAGTTTGAACGCACCAAAGTCAATAATAGTACAAAGATAATTAAGCCCTGCCGTTCTTAGACAGGTCGTCGTTGTTTGATTTCCGCGTCTGAGACACAGTTAACTTCAATTTAAGAACAAAACTGTGTGTTTAATTATGAATAAATTCTAGTAGACTCTACAACTTTATCTGAAATCTTTTGATCCCTAAGTAACCACCACACCAACATGATCTTCCTCCACTCACGAAAGATTCCCACCAATCAATCTACTTTTTAAATATTCAAGTCTACAAATAATTTTGAACATACATCAAATACACAAGCGCACAGAATTCGCCATTAATATTATATTGTTGGATTACTGCCCCTGACTAAATTACAGGCGGCGCGATTCACTTTTTCCTTTGACTTCGTGAGCGACATGTGTCTTTTTTCTCTCTCCCGTAAAACACGCGGCATGTAAGTACTTCAGAGACATCAATTAAAGATGATGTGAAACTTTTGATAATTTCAATGATAAAGTTCATTTCTTTTTTTACACTTCTGTAACATTTTCTTTTAAAAATACATTTATTAAATTTTTTAAAATTCCATGTTTTTTTTTTTTTTTTTTTTATCCGGACTCGTATGAGTCTGCAAAATATTTTTTGTGAGACAGATAATTCCAGGAGTCATAAAACAATAACTGCTATGTCATATTTATCCTTCTATATAGCAGTGAATGCTGGACAATTTCGTTACAGATATAAAGAAACTCGAAGCGACAGACATAATTCTACAGACGGCTGCTGGCAATATCACTAACTAGAGTAACAATGACCCCTTAAAGAAAATGGAAAGAAAAAAGGACACTTATACTTAAAACCAGAAAGAGACAGTTGACATTTTGGGTTTGTGAAATCTAAGACTTACAGGACATACTGAAGGCAATATGAGAAGAGAGAAACAGCGAGAAAGTTTTTTAATGAGTGGAGCGTGGTAAAAAGAGGAATGATGAATAGTCAGATATTGCTAAGAACAACAAAGGACAGGAAGCTGTGGCGAGCCATTATCTTTCATGTCTTGAAGGCGCTTGGTATATAAGAAGTTGAACTGAGTCTGAAATGTCAGTTTTTTTTTGTACAGAATGAGTGAAATTTGCCTGAAACACACAAATACGAAAAAAAAGTCCGTTAACAGACTATTAAAGCAAGACAATTTGTTGAACCTCTGCTTTTAAATATTCAACTCACCAAAGAAATTTAGCCAAACAAGTGTCAGTTGTGTATATAACTTGCTGTTAAGACATATTAAACGCACCCTTTGTTACCAGCCGAAAACAGACATCTTAAGCCTTTTGGCCTTGGGACGCGATATTAACTATTTAAGTCCAACCCCAGTGTCTCGTTTCCCCAGTGAATACATCGCCCCTGAGAAGGGCTAGAGTTATTACCTAGCACATGGGGTATCTCCAAAAGGGGGCGTGCCGTGTAGGGCTAGATTGTTTCTGGTCTTTAGTCTCATGTATGCATGGTATCCCACTTTAAATTCAGCCATGTGCCACATTCCGTTAGAGTGAGCGTTCGAATAAAATTGGGTTGGTGTTCGTCTTTTACTGTAAAAACTGCATTTCTCACTTCACTTTTTCTCGGTTAATTTAGTTCGTTTTTTTTTCAGTTTTGTCGAGTGCTATTTAGTATAAATAATACTTGAATTGAATATAAAAGGTTTCTTTTTCTGGGATGACTGAAATGTGCATTGGGCGTACGTACAGAGAAATGAACGTTTATATGTAAAAAAAATTGAAGAATATCTCTTCGTATTCGATTAGAGAAAACATTGTTTCTTCTTCCTGATGACCGACGTATTAGACAGAAAAAGAGAGGGAAAAAACGAAGAAAAGAGATATTTTTTCTTAAACATTTCGAACCAAAAAAGGCAATTAACCCACTAAGACGCAAGAGGTTACTGTGAGCGAGAGAATATAAGAAGAAAAAAAACTATTAAGAAGATAGAACAATAAAAGAACAGGAATTAACAAGATAGAAGATAACGACTGACATTGCATTTAAATCTTTGAAGATCAAACTTGGCTGGAAAGCTAAAAACCGGAAGAGAGATGCACAAACGAGAAATGCGAGAGAAAAAAATGTTAGGATAGAACTTACGGTTACATTTAGCCATTTCAATTGTAAAATGATGAGACCTTGCCGCCAATCTAGTACGGTGCTTACATACATAAAATCTAGGTACCAGAGAGAAAAGTTCATCAAAACAATTACCATGAAAGTATTTATGGAAAAGTTATCATTTGGAGATAACCTGGCCTAAATTACAAAATTAAAGAATAACGCTCATGATGTTGTGCATCTATATAAGTCCTTGAAATTCTTCTTTCAAGTATAGGACTATCTAGCTATGGGTTAAATAGTAGAACTTGTATCTGGAAAAATCGTTGTTATCTCAGAAAAAGAAATTGTTTATATAATATTCACTCTTAAAAAAAAAAAGAATTATTCTTACAATCCAAAATATGTTTCGGCTTTAAATAACCAACAATGGGTTGATAAGCCGTAAAAAAGAAGAAATCATTCTTACAATCCAAAATATGCTTCGGCTTTAACTAACTCACAAAGTGTTAGACTTGCGGCCATATTACGTTGAAACATTGGTTCTCGCACGATCACCGAAGTTAAGCAACGTAAGACCTGGTCAGTACTTAGGAATGTCTGTAAGCTGGAATGTGCAGGTGGGGGTCATAGATTACGGTCGGATTCGCTATAGTCACTTATGCGCAAATACTCTTGGGAAAGCTATGAATCCATCTTTTCTCCTTGCCTCAGCTATGTGTTAATTAGTTGGACTTGTGTCTGTTAATCATTATTACACCCCCCCTCAAATTCTTATAATCTAAAAATATTTTCTCATTTAAATTTGATAGTTGCAAAAAGTTGATAAACCGTAAAAAAGACAGATTAATAAAAATGGAGAAAAAAAAGAAAAGGATTTAGCAATCTTTTTCAGAGAAACGTATTAAGCAGTATTCACTGGTGAAATTTAAAAAATTCTTCAACGGAGAGTTTTTTAAAAGAATTATAACCGATTATCTTCTTCTTCTTCTTCTTCTTCTTCTTCTTCTTCTTCTTCTTGTGCCGTGTCCCCTCAGAACGTAGGCATTCATGGCTCTCCACACCTTCCTGTGACTTGTAACTCTTAATAAATTTGGTCTTTCTGTTATTTCTCCTAAACCCTGTTTCGCCATCTATTTAATCAACTCATTAAATATGTCATGCATTGTTTTCCTATGTCTCGTCTTTAATCTGTCTTGTGAGTATCAGATTTTCCAAGCCCTCTTTTCTCATTATGTGCTCGAGAAACTTTAACTGTCTCTTCCAGTTGTTAAGTATAAATGATCATTTTGTTTCAATTTCTCTAAAACTTCGTCGTTGCTCACATGTTCGGACCATGATATTCTTAGCATTCTTCTGTAGAACCACATTCCTATTGACTCAAGTCTCTTCTTCATCTTTGAGGAGATCGTCTAGCACAGGTAACCAGTTTAGTACTCATTTCTTTAAAGATTTCTACTGAAATTTTTCTATTTCTTAATACTCTACTTAGCTTTTGGAATGAATCCATCAAAATGCACCTTCGGATTTCAATGTCACACTTTCTGTCCTCTGTTAAAACACTTCCCAGATATTTAAATTTCCGCACTTGTTTGATTCTGGTATATCCGATTTGCAATTCTAACTTTGGAAACATGCGTTTGTTAACAGACATGAATTCTGTCTTTTTGCGGTTGATGCTTAATCCTTTCTTCTCGCTTTACATTCTGTCGGAGTTACTATTAGTAATTAGTAGTAATTAATGCTAGGAGTAGGAAAAAACACTATTGTATTTACATAATTTAGAACAGTTGCGTTCTAAACTATAGGGAGACATACTTGATGATTGACAAATCTTATAGACGCAAAGAAATTTTGTTCCTTTTCAAACCTTTGTCCTCGTTCTTCTCGCTACAACTTTGGCATGTCACAGAATGTCTGTCGCCCTGGGTATGATGATAAACATCCAGCAGCAAGGCCTCTGATCGGGAAATTGGTGGTCTTGAGGAGCGGGAAACTACCTTTTAATTGCTGCTGTTCCCAGGTTCACCAATACTCGAGTGGTAGCACCTGTTAGAGCCTCAGATATAGACAAATGGTGAAACCCAAACAAAAGCAAAAGTACAATAATTCATTTTTATAGTAAAAATTTCATCAATACATATTTATATAAAAATACCAATAAATAATTTATCTGTAGTTGAAGGCATACAATTGCGTTCAAAATATATTTAATTGAAGCTATAAAATTGTGTTCTAAATATTTAAATTTTGGCATTAAATGGCCTATAGAAGATGATATGCCGCTAATTGATATGCCGCTAAACAAAACCAACTAACCAAACAAAATGTCTAAATTTTAGTCTGGCACAAGGTAACAGTAACAGAGAACTTAATGACAACGGAATTTGCTAGCAATGACTTCGGAGATGGGTTTGCTGTTACATACGAGGTCTGATCAAAAAGTATCGAGACTGTTGTTCTGGTAATGGAGCTAAAGTATGCAGAGTTAAGCCGCTTGGCACAGATTGACCTTGAACTCTGTGTATACAAAATAAGTTATAACGTTCTCGCTCAGTTATGTTGTTTATAGCAGTGCTTAGAAGGAAAGTGTGTAGAGTGTGGTCATCTTAACACACCACAGAGGTTGCATTAGTGACTATGGCTTGTGCAGCAGTTTTAGGCCAAGCACAATATTCCCCAGGTTTGGCAACTGCCATATTCCTCAGATCTCGCCCCTTGTGACTTTCTCCTTAAAAAATTCAAATCACACTTGTTCTTTTTAAGATTTCAAGACGTCGATGAAATCCAAGAGAATGCGATGAGGCAGCTGCTAGCTATGCCAAAAAAAGAAGTTCTAGGAATGTTTCTATCAATGGAAAC